AAAAATATTCCACACATTTACTAACTACATTTCTCAGACTAGAAACTTAGTGTGAAGCAAGCCACACAACCCTTATCAAAAAGTATGCATTTTCAACTGCTTTGCTTAACGATATGGCCTTTTATAGAAAAGCATCTAAACCAAGGAAAAAAGCCAAAACTTTTGGAAGGAACAAGTTATAACTCATCTTTAAAGAAAGACTCTTAAGTCCCAATCCAGTGAAAAGCTTCCAAATATCCCCTCACTTCTAAAGGCAGTTTTGATGTGGGAGCTTAACTGAAAAAGCAAAATTTTATTCTCTGAATTATCCAAATGGGGAAGAAGATAAGAACATCTACAGCAATTGACAGTGTTTGATTTGTGCTCCATGAGAAAAATGGAGTACAGAGTCCATTCCGTGACAAGGACTTGAGAGAGAGAGAAGAAAAAAATCAGCTAGGTTTAAATCTTACAAGAATGAAGAATGCCAGCAAGTCTCTTAAAAGACTAAGTACTTCCTCTTCCATAAGGGTAACACACAGTAAAACATCAGTAGGGTAATATAATTAGGCAGACAGAGCAGAAACTATTTGATACACAGTCTGCTGCCATCTAACACGAGCAGGACTGTGTTTCCATCTTTCTACATCTAACCTATATTTCTCAGTGGTACTGTGCATCAATCCCTTTCCTCCTCCACCTAATAAGAAAGTGACTTGAGAAACTACAGAAACAGTTTTTAAAACTCCATACTTCTGGCTTTTGTAAATATGACTAAGAAAATACTTTGAAATTAAAACCTTGAGTATGGGTGCTGGAAAAACTGTTGCTGACAAACCGTGTCCTACTGATCACTACCTCCTTCCCCAAATATTGACAAAATAACTATACTCTGTTATTACTAAAGTCAGACTGTTTAGAAGAATGACAGAAGGATAAACATCAGGCTAACTTCCTGGTTTGTTGGTCTCAACCTATGGAACAGCAATGAAAGTAGTGTTTCATAATCCAAAGACACTAACCCTATAGCTCTTCCACAATCAGCAAGTTCTAAGGTCCACTGCTTTGCTTCGATATATAAATATTTTAATAGCTATGTTAACAATATACAGTAAGTAATAAAATGTTTTTACTATAGATATTCTATATTAGATAAGTTACCTGCTCTGGGATTCAAACATCAAAATAATTTTAGAAAGTGGAAATTAAAATTTTCAACCTCAAAACTACCTTTCGAGATGACTAATAAATTCCAGTAGCATCCCTCTAATAATATGAAAATGCATGTGGCACACTGAAAAGCATGAAGAAAATAAATTTAGCTTTTCCTGTTATGGAAAAGACAGTCAAACTGATTCGCAGGATTTCTTTTGCATTTTATCTGTACCTCCACAGGTTTTCCTTACTCTGCACATAAATTTGAAGTTGATTCTGTCAGCTGTTCAAATTTATCTTTTTTATGCACCATCTACCTAGGAGGAAAAAAAGCAGAGCCTTTAAAAGCCAAACTCTGACCTTTAAGTTATACCTGTAGAAGGCCAAAACTCAGAAAAGTCCTTACTCAGTAGCTGCCAGAGGCAAAACATATCTCTTTGAAGAAGAGAAGCAAAAGAGTTAAATTTGCACTTGTTAGCCTGGATAAAGACTTCAGGCTACTTTGTCATAGCATTGAAGTTGGAAGAAAATGAAGACTTCTGGCCTTGATAGCAGTGTGACTCATTACAAAAAAGGAAAGAGATCAGGCCACCTATATATGGTCACTTTTCTGATCCTATCTGCACCATATTAACTGCAAAGTCACTTCCAGCTCCTCCCAGAATTAAGACAACCCATCTCATGAGTCCTGCAGCTGGTATCTGCAACATCCATATGGACTTCGCAAAGTCAGTTAAATACAGCAGTTAGATTGTCAGCCTAGAAAGTCTTAAGCACTAGTGGCTCTCTAGGCAATTGTAGCATCAAGGATCACAAACACCTTAGCATAGAAGACTAGTTAATAAAGCGTTGTAGCAATTCTGAGTATTAGAACAGCTATATATAGTTCACTCTGAGCATTTTGAAAGAGTTTAATTCCTCCTACGATTTTAATATCTGGTCTCTATAAGACTAATCTCTGCCATCACTAGTTCAGAAATAGAGTGAATGGGGAAACTGAGGGCCTCTTACTTTATAGCACTCCTAATAAAGCTTCTGCAGTATGACTTCTGCAGACGTTCCCCTTCTGGCTGCTATACAAAGGTGGCCAAAGAATAGAGATATTAAGGCAACTAACTGGCAAGGGTATTTTCATATTCACTCTTAGTACTCCATCACTATATATCCTGTCCATACACTGTTTAATTCTGTATTGAAGTCCATCTTCATAACTGTCTAGGATTTAATAGGACCAACGTAAAGAGTTGCTGGAAACAAACCAGGCTTTTTCCCTCCGTCCCGCCCCCTCCAGTTTAAGTTGGGCAAAAAAGACTTTTTGGGACCTGGACTGTTTGTTTCTTTGGGGACAAGCTCATTATTTGAAGCGTATATTATTCAATACTCGAGCATGAAACATCACTGCCATAATTTGTACCAGTAAGTTTAAAAAGTTAAATAAAATCAATGCCCTTCTCTCCACAGAAACAGTTGTTTCATGCCTTTCAGAGAAACTGCGTAAAGACCTGCACACATCATTATCCTTGATTCCTAGGCAAAGCATCAAGTTCTTCATAGCCAAAAATATCAGAGAGATTACAGTTTACAGTTTACTATATAGCTTGATAGCAGATAGCCAACTTAAGAACTGTGACACAAAATCACAACTATTAAGCCAAAGTCCAAAATATAGAATTAGGGCAGCTGACTCTGGACCAAACTAAAAAACTGATCCTGAAAAATAACTCCTTTCAGCACAAGATATATATATATATACATATATATAACACTTTCTTACCTTGCTAGACCATTTCCGAGCTTCATCATGCAACTGTCTAGCAGCCATCATCATGGGCTGATTAATAGCTTCCCCTGCTTTCTGCTCTGGGAACTCTTCATCCTTTTCTTCAGGTGGTGGCGGTCTAGGTGGGGGAACTTCACCTTCTGGTAGTGGTGGTTTTGGAGGGGCAAGCTCATCAGTCAGCTAAGGAAGGGAAAAACAAAGAAAAAAGATTCAGTGCAATGAAATAGTATACAGATCAAGCCAAGGATAGTGTCATGGGAAGACACGATTGCATGAGCTTTTCTTCTACTTTTTCAAGGGCTCTGTTGTAAGAGAGCCATGCTTTAATCTTTTCCTTTGAAAGCTGGATTTTTTTCTTTCTCTTTTTCTTTTTTTTTTCAGGCTACTTGTGTGTGTGGCTGGCCAGGTAACACATTTTATTTCTAAGGAATAAAAATTTACTCAAGTAATTTCAGTGTGCAAACCACACTTTGCCAGTGGTAACTGAATACTCTAATACAAACTATGCTATACGTACATGAAGCTGCTCAAGGTCTGGAGGAGGCGGCGGAAAATCTGGTTCCTGAGGCTGGAAGGCTTCTCTGACTTTGGCTACGGCTCCCAGGATTCTGTATCCAGAATCCAAGAAACTCTTTTGCAAACCTGAAAAATAATCCCATTCCAAATTCAATAAAGCCTAGCATTCCTTATTATCTAGGAGAGCAACAGTACCCAAAAAATACTCACATAAGATATTGTGCAGAGTGCACATATAACTAGCAGAAATTATGTTCACAAACTACCAGAATGTTTAAACTGTTTGAAATATTAGTTGTCACACGTGCAACATGCATAAAACAAAGCTTGGACTGAGTAATAGTCACTACAAATGACCAAAGTAGTTCCCAGAACAACGTTTATTCTAAAATAAATTCCACAATATTTTTTGTAAAAGTAATACAACTGGTAACTGGTGACAAATTACTTGTTTCAGATAAAGATCATGAAATCACATAAACTGGGATGCTGAATCCTTTTCACTTGAACATGCCAGAGGTCTTTGATTGTGTTTAACAAGAGCAAGATACTGCAGGTAATGGTGTGACCTCGCTTTCACCGTTCTGGGATTTAAGTGTATACAAAATTTGCATGCATGGGGAAGTAAAGCTGCAACAAGACAAAATGAGGACTACTTCATATCTTTTTTAAGCAGTAAGAAATACGTTCAAAATCAGCTCATTGAATCCTTACCAGGATCAGAAATGTTTCCTGCCACGGCTTTTGCATCCATTACCATTGGTGATATAGTTTTGCTTAGCTCATCAGAGGCTGCTTTAACAGCCTCCCGGAATTTAGGGTCCTCTGAATTTTCAACCTCCCGTTTTGCAACCAGTAGGATTCGGTTTGCTCGTCTAGCAATGCTGGTAGCACCAGCCACCAGCATCTGAGGTTGAATATTGGCCATTGCAACTTTGCATTTATCAAGATCTTTCTTAATAGCCTCTTCTGATGCATCTAACAGAGACTTGGTATCAATGGCTTCATCCACCAACCCTACGATAAAAATTAAACATGTTAACATTCCAATTTCATCTGTGGAAAGGGATATTTGGTATTCCAGGGACTAGTCGCCACCAGAAAAATAAGTACTTCCAAACGGGGCAAGGGGAAGAGACGAGATCGACTGTATTAGTGCAATTTTGCTTCTGACTCTGCGGCCCATCTAGCACATTAACTGTAGTCAGAATAGCTGAACAAGGCTTCCTCCCGCTAATGACTTCATGAGCTCTTACTCCTCTGCTGTGGAATATAGTCGAGTCAAGACTTGGCTGGCACAGTATAAGCAGCAGAGCTTCCTCCTCCCATCAAGTTTCTACAGGCGTATTCGGTACTTTTTGTACTTCTCCCTTTCATACAAAAGGAAAGGCCCCTCCAGCTGTGCTTTTTCCTTATGGGTTATACATAGTGACAAGGCAGTTAAGATTTCAAATATCCACAGGGCAATTATGGGGTTGGAGAAGGAGATAGTGCAGAGTCAAGAGAAAGTATTTTGATAACAGCCCAGTGCAGGGGGATCCGCGCTTCAGGAGGACTGAAGCATTTAATTGTCTCGGCATGATTCAGTAGTAAATCAGTAGCTTTGTTCTATTCATTGCTTTCATCAAGCTGTTACATCATTTTAAACATCTTTTCTTGCCCCCGTTTAATTATCTGTCCTCATTCAGCATGCCAAGATCATGTTGAAAGCAAAACAACAACAACAAAAAATACTCTAGCTGCTACAGTGATATACTGTTAAAAATCAGTAAGCATGATAAACAGGAAAGGTGTTCTGTTTTTCCCAAGCAAGAACTAAAGCCCAATTTACTCCCTCGCTGCTCAAAATTAACACCTGTGAAACTAGTTACTCTATTTATGCTGTACAATACACACATTTCTGGGGTCATAGAGCTCATGCTCTCATTTCTCTGAAACAATTTTTTTTTTCAATTAATTACTACTTTTATGCATGTTTCATCAACCCAAACAGAATGGGAAAAATCCCACACAGGCTAGCTAGCCACAAGTAGAGTCTTCAATAGAAATTCCTATTTTACCTGTCATTTTTTCTACATTATCAATCCATTGGTTTTTCATGGTCTCAAAATGCTCATAAGCAGCTTGATTTCCAGGATTCCTCAGGAGAATACGGGCAGCTGATACTACCTGCCAAGGGAAAACATTTTCAATTATGAAAATACCAGTACTTAAGGACATCATACGCACTCCTGAAAATTTGCCTTTTAGGACTGGATGTGTAGCTCCACACTTGTAATACTCTATCAATTCTAGGTCATCAGCTTTTAGCTGCATGAAGACTTACAGTGCTTCCAGAATTCACTGCCAGAAATAGTGTTTTCTGAAACTTCCATGACATGCTTATCATACACTAAAAAGTGTTTTTTAATTAAATAAAGCAATATTTGAAATCACTAAAAAGAAACCCAATACTAAAGACAGTCTCACTACTGAACAAATGCTAGACAAAAATTTAATTAATTTGGAAAAAAAAAAAAGAAAGAATGTCTTTTCTACTTAAATATTTTATTAAGTCCCAAAGTAAATTTCTTGCAAGGATAATTCACTATGGCTTCTGTCCAGAAGTTGAAGAGTAATACATGTCATCTAATCAGCTTATTCTACTTGAAATCATATAACCAAGTATTTGCCATTTCCCTTTCAAAGGTGTCAGTACTATCTTCTTTGATGGTATTAATAGCAGAAGCATACAGAAAAATCCACTGAAGTCATTTCTCTGGTCATTTAATAGCTTTTTGAGACTGAGGAAGCAAACCTGGGGGGTAAGTTCTCTTGCTGATTTCACAGTTGCCTGAATGCCTTCCACAGTAGTTTTATTAGCCGTTCCAACTGCAGCTGCTTTTTCTGCTGTAGCTCCCAGTCTGGCAGCATGGTTTTCAAAGTTTGCTGCTCTTTCATCAAACACCTAGTTGTAAGCAGAGAAAATAGGGTAGAAAAAAGCACAACTTCTCTAACAGAGCAGACAATTTCTCTCTAAGTGTTAGGGACACCTTCATAACATCCAGACTTAATGTATCTCCTGACAAGGACACAGAAGCTTTGAAGCTGTTTCATTTTTTAATCTTTGTTTTGAGACACTTTTCCTTGGTAACCCCCCCCCCCTTCCATCAAAGGATATTACCACACTTTTATACCTGTGAGATATTAATTACATCAGTGCTGTAACAAATACTGAGTTCACACAAATAAAACTCTTGGCTTAGCATGTAGAGATTAATCTTCAAACCTATAAATCAGATGTAATTACATTTGGAAGATAAATACTGGGTTTTATCCTAGAAATTGAAGCTCCACATTGGAAAAAAAATCCTTCCTTCCACAGTCCTTTTTATTCAAGGCACAGAATACTTTGGCAAAAGCTATCCAGTTGCAAAGTTAAATCCCCCAAGGCCTTAGGAATCATTTTGATTAGGTTCAAACTAACTAGCCACACAGAGCTGCCCAGAGTTGGAGACACTTCACATGACACCTGTAGCCTTGAAGTACAGGAAAAAGATTACACAGCAAAAGAACAGGTTAAGCATGCTGAAGAACTTTGGTATGAATTTGACTATTTTAATCAGTTTATATGTTGAGATGTGCAAGCTACTGTGTCAATTAGTGATTCTTGTGCAATACTTTTTAGCATGTTACAGGCAACATGATATGAACATCATGGAAAAAGTCTTTGGCATTTAATGAAGTCATGGACAATACCATTTCCAGGTATTGGAACGCAATTATGAATCCCCATCAGCCCAGAGAATTTTGCATGGCAATCATTGCTCACTCAGAATAAGCACAGATCACAAGCCTGAGAGAAAATATTCTGGTAGAAAAATTCTGCTAAAACAATACAGTAAATTAACTGAAGCTTCACACAGAAAAAAAACACTTGATACACTTACCTCATCCCTATTGGGAGCATCAGAAGGAGCAGTGGCTGCTACTGCTAACAATTTAATGGGAGTAGTAGTGTCACTAAAAACATCAGAAACCTCCTGGGTCATTGCTTCTTGCATCCGTGTTTTAAGATCCTTAAAAAAAAAAAAAAAAGTAAGATGTTGGTACAAACACAGGAACACTAAAAGTTTGCAGGGATTCAAATATCAACATCTCTTCTTGCAAAAAAGTAAATCTATTACCATTTTATCTTAGTGGCAAGCCATGAATTATCAGAAGCAATGAATAGCATGATTTGAGACCTTGCCCCTCAAATCTGCAATGCTAACGTGCTTTTTATTTTTTTCCTTTCAAAGTTGCTCATTTGGAATTGACCCCTACAGCACAATATCATGGTCAGCGAAGGAAGTCTGTTTTGCGCATCTCCAGAAAAATAGAAAAAAGAAAAACTACACAACCTCTTGATCACCCTTTATTCCATACCAAAAAAAAAAAAGGTGTAGCAAAAAACTTGTTACTGATGCCTCACATATGCAAGCACCTTACTGGAGTGGTACAAATACTTCAGCATTTCATGTATTTCACTGCATAAGAACAGATTTAACTGCAATGATTTTTACCTTCAGTGAGTCCTGCAGCTGAGCAGCAACTGCCCTAGCCTGAGGAGACTCTCCCTCCCCTCTCGCTGCGAGGTCAGCTAGCTGAGCAGCCAGCTGGTCTACACGGTCACATTTGGCTAGCAGGTCTTGACGATAAGGTCCCATCATAACATTGGCTAAACGACGACCTTCCGCAACCAGTCCCCGAATTGCTGCCTGGCCTATGGTGGAAGAAGTTATGCTGCATTAATATACAGTATATCCAAAAGCTGAGAGTATAACTCAGGTGTACCAGAAACTAAATGACATTTCAGAGTTCTTTGTTTTTTAAGCACACCTTTCTAGTTAGAAAGCTTTGACAGTGGGAAGAACCTTCCACTTTTTTTCCCACTAAGCAACAACGGTTCAAACCCAAAGAGGAATTTGAGTCTCACCAATTTGTCACAACACCTCTGGCCAGAAAGGCCTCCCTATTAGTCAGGGTGTTAACCTGAAGTTAACCATTACAGCTATCACGTGTCCCTACAAAACTGATCTGTTGACTCCAATAGAAGGTACTTGCAAATTCCAAGTACTGCAATCTGAGTCGTTTCAAGTCAGTAGATGATGAGCAGGAATAGGGGGAAAAAAACAAGTAGAAAATATGAGTGAGAAAGCAGACCATCTTCTCCAGGGATTCCAAAAATCACGGTAAGAAATGTCAAGTGTCCAAGATGGAAAAAAAACAAAACACAAATGTAAAAACTTCCACTGTGTATTAGAAGTTATTTTTTGTAGAAGTTTTGTTAGTATGATTTTCTTTACTCACTTAACAGAAGATAAAGTCCTTGTTCTTTCAGTAATATAGCAGTATTATTTTTAAAAGTTGTTGTTGTATATTAAGCCCCTTAAAGACCTACTAAAGAGTTATTTGAAGCCAATGCTCACATATAATCAATCCAAATTACTAGCAAGCTCAAGATTGCTTAGAAAGGAGCCGTCACAGGACATCTTTCAATGAACCTTGCCTAATCTCCCAGTCAATTATTTTAGCCACCATTTAGCTAGGATAGCGGGTAATATGACTGCATGTAAATATTTGTAGCAGCTAACACCACTGAAGTGACTCACATGTTATGAAAAAAGCTGCATGTATCTATCTCATTACTTCAAAATTCAGTTTGTGCTGCAGAGCTACACCTTGGGAGAACTGCAAACAGGCCGGTTATTTGTGAAATGGTCATTCCGGCTGCGGAGAACACTGAGCACGTATTTTCACATTACCGTAGGAATGAAAATACAAGGCCAAATTTTTCTGGAAATGTTGTCTAGACCTAACAGAGCATATATTTGAATTACATCAGGAAAAAAAAAAAAAAAATCAACAAACATCCCAAAAAAACCCAATGTCATAACTAGAATTTTTTTGTTACATTAGGAACATTAAAGTCATTGGGCACATAATATCTTACCTATCTTTCACATATCTTTGTCATTATGTATTACTACAGCAATTGACTAAATCCTCTAGTATGTTGCTGGCATGGATAAACTTTCATTCTTTAAAGAAGCTTCCTTTATGTAACCAAACCTCAGTTAACAACACACACAAAAGCATACTTCAAAAGGGATTTAAGTTTCTTTTGAACTTAAAAAAAATCAACAAACATCCCAAAAAAACCCAATGTCATAACTAGAATTTTTTTGTTACATTAGGAACATTAAAGTCATTGGGCACATAATATCTTACCTATCTTTCACATATCTTTGTCATTATGTATTACTACAGCAATTGACTAAATCCTCTAGTATGTTGCTGGCATGGATAAACTTTCATTCTTTAAAGAAGCTTCCTTTATGTAACCAAACCTCAGTTAACAACACACACAAAAGCATACTTCAAAAGGGATTTAAGTTTCTTTTGAACTAAAAAAAAAAAAAACAAAAAAAAGTAGAGTTTTCATGCTTTTTTGAGCTGACCACTTCAGAATTCTAGAGAAGCATCTGAAGCTCAGAATTAGGACGGTTATTATGAGCTATTTTGGCACCAACTAAAATAACCTATATGTCACCTTCGTGTGTCATCTCATTTGGCAGTTTACTCATCAGAAAGCATCAAAAACACGGGACTTCAATGTTCTATTATAACATTACTTTTAAAATTGCACTTCACAAGTGCCCAAGCTATCAGTCTTGCAAATCTTTAATTCAAGGGTCTGCAAATGGTTATTCACACAAAAGACACTATCTTGACAGACATGGGAAAAAGAGTGAGAAAGAGATATTAAAGGACTACAGTTATGCTACTTACAAAACTGTGTTTCCATTCATATTATCAGTTCCACTGCTCAGACCTAATTACTATGAGGAAAATTATCAAATGCAGATTGCAGGCATCATCCATCTACTTAAAATGGATCAGAAGAAGCAAAACAAGACTTTTCAGAGATTGCTTGCAATGAGCTCTCAATAAAGCAATTCCTGAACCATAATTATATGCCCACTGATAGCATGCTTGAATTCTCAGATAATTTTTCTCTTTAACCAAGTAGCATTCTCCTCAGATAACCGAGAAGCCACACAAGAAGCCATTTTTGAACCGCGGTTATGATTTTCTCCTCTCTGAAGGACTCCACTTCTCAATTTGCTGGAATACATACAAATTCAGGTTTGAGATACTGCATTTGCATGATGAGAAGAGCAAGGAGGAGTTTAAATTTTGTCTATTTTGCAGTACACATTCTCCCATTCTTTGGGGAAATTCTTCTTTCTAGAAGACAGTGAATCATAGGCCGGCTTGATTCAATAGTAATGCAGCCAGAACATGGCTATAAACCACCAGCCATGAAATCAGTACCAGTGAAGAGACCCTGTGCATGTTAAGCAACTCAGTCATAAAAGTTACTAACAAGTTTAACTGTAAAGTTGGGATGGGTAAGGTGGGGGGAGAAACTCCAGAAGAGTCCACAGGAACACTTACCTACTCCTCGATCGTCAACGGTAGGATTGTCTATCCACCTTTGAGCTTGCTCAATTTTGCCTTCCAAATGGACAGCTGCCTTAACTGGCCTAGTATTTGCTACAGCCCTGTTTGTTTTGGACTGTAAATTCTGAAGTGATGTAGCTATTTGCTTAGCCAATGCACGGGCCTCTGGAGAGTCACCTTTTCCACTGAGGATAACGGAAGGAAAAAAAAAGTCATAAGGATCACTTAGTCCCAAATTCACAGGGGGGAACAACACAATGAAAGGTACTCTTAATCTTTTTAAAGAAGGTCAAATCGAGCCTTGACAGATCTGCATTTTTTGCTCTGAGATTCACCCATAAATCCCCAGCTCACACTTCTCTGCTGTGGCACCTGGACCTTATTCATGTTCAGCACAACATGGAAGCAGGGGGAGGTATGTTATTATCACTGATAGGACTGATGTATGACTTCCATTTCCCATGCTCATGGCCATCTTATGAGCTACTGCAATAAAGTCACACAGATTACAAACTCAAAAATAAGCAGCAACCGATCCAAGGCTATTCAGCTACTCACAAGCTAGGAAAAAGGCAGTATACTAAGATCTACGGCAGCTAAATCTCAAGAAAAAATTAAAGTCTCTAACCACTGAAGAAAAAAAAGTATTTCCATATTGCAGGTGACCAGAGATTAAAGATCCTGGTTTACACAGTAACTTTTTCAGTCTGTTCAAGCATCCTGTTTGCAAAACTGATACAGGAACATCATTTGCAGCCGAGCACTGAACCCAAGGTAGCAGGTTTTTCCAAAAGTCTTAAAACCTATGCTTTATATAGTTTACAGTTGCATCTTGGAACACTAACAAAAGATTGAAGTGCAAGATATTCCACCTTGTCTTGTAGCAAATTGCTTAGCAAAGAAACAGTGATGACATTTGTCTGTATAAACAAACAAATTTCACATTATCTGGTTCCTTTGAAGTGTTTTGATAGAGCAAAGGAGGTGGCTTTTGGCTTCAGTTTATACTGCCTATGGAATGTTTGACAGGCAAAGAAAATATCTTATAGATGTGCACCTGCAGCTACTCCCATTTTCTACAGCAGGAAGATAACACAAGCGTGGCTTGTGGACAGAAATCATTAAAAGGGATGTTAAATTTTAAAAAGAGTGTTAAAAAGTTACATTTTCTGTTCTGGAAACTGAACAATACTTAGCCTTTTTTACTAAATGCAGGATGGAAACCCAATAGTATAAGATGCTCATCCCCAGTTCTTGGAGAAAAATGTATTCCCCAATTAATCAGTCTTTTGATTAATAAATTCTGCACTTTGAACTACCAGTGAACTACCAGTGAAATAAATTAATGGTAACAAACAAAAACGTACTGTCTTCGTAGATCTGACAGCTTAGCTGTCAAAGCAGAGATTTCTCCCAAGGAGCGAAGGATATCATCTCTTTCCTTAGGCTCTTCGCATAATTCTGCAACTTTCCTTGCTTCAGCCATAATTCCCCGAATATGTTCTTCTCCTTCGCTGCCCCCATTAGGATCTGCTAGCCAATTCTTAATAGAAAGAAGTTACGTAGATGCAAAGATAAATAGTAATACTATTCTTATAGTGACTGTAAAAAGCTTTCAAAACTTTATTTAACAGAAAATACTTTTGAAAAGCAATCTGTTGATTATATACCCTGAAGTTCTGTTTGCCAGATGTTCTTTTTTCAAAAAATAAGAGGAAACTAAATGAGACTACTCAAAGATTGTCCAGTTCCTCTCCCCAGTATTTCCCAACAATATTTTCAGAAGTAACATTTAACTAGCGGCCTTAGAGACCTGCGGTCTAGCTTCTAGAAGGAAAATGAAGACGGATGTACACAATGCGACATTCTTTACAGAGTTCTTTCTAAGAAAGTCTCATTATCAGGTTCATAATCTAAATATATAGATTATTTCTATATATTCATATATAGATATCTAGACAAGATAGCTATATTTCATACAACTACATATACACACAGACAAAATTTGTTATCTGACAATTATAATGATCAGCATCACTGGGTAATAGGCTGAAGATTAAAGGAGATTAAGAGTTACAAAACCATTGTTTTGATCTTTATCATCAAAAGCATGAGGCTCTAAATCTATACTGGTACTCCCAAAACAGAGACCAAGGAAGTTTACCTGGGCAGTCTGAAACTCCTCTACTCTTTGCTTTAATATGATCAGTTTACGTCCAAATTTAGGGAGTGTTTCCTCATTTTAAGTTCATATCCTTGAAACTCTCTAGCAATGATAAACCATTTACAAAAAAAAAAACAAAAAAACAAAAGAAAAGTAATAAGCTGTAACAAATTCACAGACTTTAAAATTATAGTATTACAGAAAGTAAGATGTCTATGTTAAATCAAGTATTTGTTCTTCCAAATGAGTAGCTGTGTTGCACTTGGAAACACCTACAGTGGTTCAGCCTAATAGAACTAAGAGCAGCAGTTTAACCACTTTCTGAAGCATTTATTAAGTCAGTAGTAGTAGTACCTGAGCAGCGTCAATCTTCTTAGCAATTGCCTGCTTAGAGTTTGTCATGGCCTCCAATTTGCGGGCTGCATTCTCCACTTTTGCAGTGAGCAAGTCCAGACCTTGTGACACCTGTTGTGCTTTCTGCATAGCCATTGGTGTAGCACCCTGTCCCCTGTTCAAGACACAGAAAAAGCATCACACACCGAGCTCAGGACTGAACTAGCTTTTCTAATGAAGAGGCAACAAAAAAGTTCATGAGGATTCTCAGCAATTCTTGAAAGAGCTACAGTATTTTTCTTGGAAAACAAAAATAACCGAGGGGAGAGAAGACAACAACAGTTTTAAACTAAGAGCATACTTAGAGCACATTCGCCCCTTCCTAGAGATTTTACATTTAGCAGCCCCGGAAGAATAAATACTTTTAAGTTCCTCAATATGAGGAGATAAAGTAAGGCTACTTAGCTCCATTGAATTACTGACAACCAGGCCTGCTATCTATTCATTTACAGATTGCTACAACAGTCCATCAGAACCTCCAGGACTTGGGCCTAGCCCTAAGTGAGGCCAACAAGTCTGTAAGCGACAAGAAAATGTCATTGCTGTGCCTCTGTCATGCTGACAAGATAGCTGAAAGCTTACAGGACATTGGTATTATTTCTTAAATTGGAAAAAAGGATGTTAAAAACACCAATTTACACAGCTGTAGAAAGCAATTCACAGCACTGATTGTTCAAATGCTTAGGAGTGAAAAGCCAGACAGAAAAATTATTTCAGATATATATGCCTGAGAACATTAGAGTTTTACATAAGAAATCTCACATTCCATTCCAAAATATTTGATTATTGGAAAGTTTTGAATGTGTTGCATTAACCAAACAAGTAACTTCAAGAAGATCATAATAAGTGGCAGGATGACAAGGATGCTATTGAGGTTATAAGGTGCATTTACACACATCAGACCAGAGGTTCAAGGTATGTTTCTTCACGCTATTTCTCATAGGCTGGTTGAAGTCTTTTTTATACTAAGACAGCAAACAAATTAACTCATTTGTTAGTAAATCTTAGTTCTGCTTTTCTCCACTCTAAAAAATTTCAAATACAAGAGCTGTCAGCAGTTATTGCTTTATAAAAAGAATGTTTGACTTAACTTCCAATGGTCTGTGCAAAAACTGGTACAAAGAAACTCCTGCGTTCTCTTAGGCCAATCGCCTGGAAATCCAAGTGAAGTTAAACCAAAAATAGCGTCTCATCTACTATTAGCATTACAACTAATATACATCACCTCTAACGACAACATAGCTAGTATTTCTGATTCTTTGCCCTTTTTAGTCTTTGTACATGCAACTAATGACTCTAAAGAAATCGTTTCAGAAATGCTCCAAGCTTCTGTATGTATCACTGAAATGCTTCACACTTCCGTAGTCTCCAGTCTCCATATTTAAAGTGCTGGTAGGGAATCTGTTCTTACCTGAGGTCACTCAAAACAGAGAACGCCAGATAGTTTGCATTTGCTCATTTCCTGCACTTCATAGGTTTAAGTCAGAAGAGATGCTTGTTTTTACATAAAGGCAATTTATTTTTCTAAAAGAAAAAACTCAACCTCTACTGCTTTTTCTGGCAATCTGCAAGCTGCACTAACATTTAGGAAGAAAATATACTGTCAAAACATTGTCTGTCTCCCTGGTAGATTGCTATGAAGAGCTTCTGGGGAATTTTTGTTTGTTTGCTTTTTTAAGGATTGGGGAGGAGGGAGAGAAGACAATCACCAGAACAAAATGAAGAAATCAATATTAGAGCATCCAACTTAAGGATTTATTACACTGACACAGAGCTGAGAAAAAGAACTCCCCATTTTCAAAGGAAACGGACTTATAACATTCAAGCTACATGCAACAGTTATTTCTTAACTCATCTTTATGCCTTCACAAAGGATTGTCATGCTTTCTACTTTCTAACAAAAGAACAATAGGTTATACTATTTACAATCAAGAAATTTAGTGAACCTCAAGAGGGTCACCTGCTGCTTAAAAACATCCTTAATTCAAAACCAGCTTCATGAGAGAATAATCAATTTTTAGGTAAGGAGTAAGAAAACTGATAAAGGACTCAACTCAAATCAAACTCAAATGCTAACAGAAGACAACAGGCAGATGAAGCTCTGAAGAATTTATCAGGGACCAATTAACAACTTCAGCAACTATTGCCTGCAGTCTAACATCCCAATAAACACCTAAAAAACAGAGTACTCATGGATCTGATGGTCATTAGGGCATCCTCTTCTGGGAACCCACAGAGTTTAAGATTTCATTTCTGCCTACTTCGAAAGAAAGTTGTGTTTGCCATTAAACAAATGCTGAATTATCTATCTGAGCCAATCTGCTCACCATTGTCCCAGCAGGTCCTATAATTAAGGATTCTCATATTAAAGCAAGCCATTCTTATCAGAAAAGAATGAAATAAGTAACCACGCACCACACCACAGTGGAATGAAAAACAATGCAGTTAACTGCCCTGCTCTTTAACATGTTAAGAAACGTAATTGCAAGATCAGAAAAACTGTTTTAATAGCACTGGAAAACAGCCCATTAACAGTAATAGATTTACCTAGCTCGGAGATCAGCCACCTGATCAGTCATCTGGCCCAGTGTTTTGCAGGTTCCCAGAATCTCTCTGCGTTCTTTGCCTGCACATAGTTCTCCCGCTTTTCCAGCTTCATCAAGGATCTGCCTTATTGCTTGCTCACCAGCATCCCCTAAGATGCAAAGTCAGTTAGTAAAACGTCAAACAAGATAACTCTTTGATAACTGGAAATCTCATCATGGCCTGCCACACTAATTATATCAGGCTCAGATTTGAAAGTACATTTATCAAAAATCACAAGATATACACCAAATGGGATAAATCTTACAATTGGACAATATTCCTGAAACAGTATAGCATAGATTCAGTAGTGTGCATCATGCACTTCAAATCATTTAATCCTTCTGTTATCATAGCTTAATTCTTACAAATGCTTCATTTATAGAATCTTTAATGTACTCACGATGAGACAGAAAGGAGCAATGTGGAAAGGTTCATGTGGCCTTGGCTTTAGCCAGCTGCATATCTGACTTATATTTGGCAAAAGAAGATCGAGAACTACATTCTTTGTCCTCGTAATCCAACCCCCACTACATCCCCCAGCAATATGGGTACTGGCACCTCCACCATCCATAAAGCACCAGTTCTGTCATGAAATCAGAATAACAGAAGTGGCTCAAAGAACAAGCGCTGCCGTAAGAACCTCTCAATGACAAAAATATGAGACCCAGTAAAATCTGATTTTCAGCAAGTTCTACATGTTTTCATTGTCCTTAGCTACTGAATTTTTTTAATCATTTATTTCATTAATTGCCAGTGTCAATGACAGAAGGCTTTGAAAATAAGATGAGGTCAGAAGAAATACAAGCAGCAGCTTCACAGATAATTCACTTCTAACATTTACAGTTGTATATTTGGCTTCCATTTCAGAGGAAGCCTTTCAGATAATGTTTTTAAAGTACAAATGGAATAGGCCTGCAGCTGGCTTTATGAGCTTTAAAGATGCATAGAAAGGCAAAACTATTATATAGATAAAGGTGACAAATCTGTAACTACAGTAGTTATAGCAGCTTTTCCGTGGTAGGCATTTTTTGTTAAGACTGAAAGAAAAACAACAGATCTGTCTAATATTAATCTCTTTGAAGGTATCAAATTTGAAAGTACAGAGGAGGGATTTTAAGTATTATCCAGTGCTGCAGTTAAATACTGTTCAATGTATTTTGAGTTTTTTTGATTTTTACTAGTAGAATGCAAAGAAAAATCATATACACCATACATAGCAATTATTTGGACAACTTAAAATAAGCAAAGCTAGGTCATTAAGCACATAATTTGTTTGATCTTCAATATTTAAAGGAATATCTAAAAAATCATTCAGAATGATCCACCATGCATCGTTTATTAATACTTAAAGGTAATTGTCTTATACAGCAGAATTGGACTTTTAAAAATCAAAATACTTTGTGTTAATTTTTAAATGTTACCCGGAGGTGCATTTGGATCTCTCAGCCAGCCTTTTGCCTGGTTCATCTTCGAATCTATTAAGGCCAAAGCTCTTTTCATGGCTTCAGTGTCCTTTGCAAAAGAAAAACCACCGTAACAATTCTCAAAATCAAAGCACAAATAGTCAGCACAGCCAAAGCAGACAGAAGTTTTAAAGCACTATCTCCTTATAGAAAGGCATCCATCCATATAAGCAGCTCAAAACCTGTTTTCAAACTATCAGATCATAATCACTTCTTTCTGAAAACAGATGCTTTCATCTCACTCAAAATGCAGAAAACGTGCATGCAAGCTTTCAGTGATTCTTCTATTCCTTTATTTACTAGTGTTTTAATTTCTGAAGTCAAAGCTCTAGTAAGCACACGTTAGTTCCATTTTTTCTCCTTAATATGCATCAAGGCATATAGAAAGACTATAACAATGAGATTATCAGTCACAAGAGTTTTGAGAGTTAACTTTTTAGCAATGGAAATTGGCCAGTGAATTTTACTACTTTTATCTAGGAGGATGTGAATCGGCTTTTTTTTTTTTTTTTGGAAGCCTATTTTACTGTTTGAATCAAACAGGTGCTATTTGTCTTTTTTAAAGAAAGAAGCAGTAATGAAGAAAAGAATAGATTGCCAGCTAATTCCTGCAGTTCCCATATAGGGATTTTAACATCTCTGGAGATTTTAACCCACATGTGTTTGTTTTAAACTCAGAGCCTCCCTGCCACAACTGTTAGAGAAGCTGATTTTCTGACTATTATCCCGCTATTATCTCACACATCTTTGCCTACAGGAGACCAAATCATCCAGTTGTCATCTCTCTGCAAACTCTCTTAACTGTTGATGACATCTCTCCACTAGAGGCCAGAAGTTTTCTATCTTAAACAAACGGAAAGACAGTCAGAGTAACAAGTACCTTAAGTGAAAAGTTGGGACAAGGCCAAAATAGCTCTTTACCATACATGTGACAGAAATAACTTGAAATGCATCTAACACCCAGTGATTGGTGTACAGCTGAAGAGAAACCTGGCCCTCACACTGGTAACTGAGTTGGATTGTCCATGTCCAACTCTTACAAAGAGGAGTCTGTTTCTAGCATCAAGAACCAGTAACTGGTACAACAGGAGATACCCTGATAACAGCAAAAAAACCATGTCCCATAAGTAATTTGAAATAAAACTGAATTTTTAAAAAGGCAACAGATGTTGCAGAGCATGCTGATGAAAAGATAGGTGTGGGAATGCACGGCTGGAAAAGGAGAATTGAGGAGAAATAGGAGATGCAAAGACCTCCTCCCTTCTTACAGGAGCAGGCTTTTGTGTCCTCTCAGCTGCCTGCAGAGTTGCAGTTTCAGCAAAATGATATAGAAGCTTCTGAATCTAAGTCTCATATTAGAGGACAAAATCAAAGCTGTATCACCTTTCAAACTTATGATTTCATGACTGCTAGAACTACACAAGCCATACAGGATCCATCTCTCCTATCATATGAACGTTGTAAAACTGGACTGCTTTACAGTGTACGTCTTGTTATCCTGTGTGGCTCTCCACTGATGTTTGTGTTGCTTGCAAAGCACCACCCTCCCTCATTTATTTAAAAAAATTGCTAATATCCTAGTGTAGCAGTCAAAGTATTTCAGGATAACTCGTCAAGCACAGATTTCCCATCTTAACAGTCAAAACTGCCAAGACAAGGAGTCACTCAACTTTAGCCTGGTAAGGAGTTGTCATTTCATTGAGATAGGAGTAATTTTTGAATAGACATTTAGAACACATCCTTAACTAGACTTGCTGGTACTCTACTAGTCATTATTTCACTTCTCTTTCTGCTATAGTTTTGTGTAAGGTGTTGGGTATTTGGCAAGAGACAAAGACGTAGCCATCCTGAAATGTCTAGACTTATCCACTGATCCAGGCTATTAAGCAGGAAGCTGGAATTAGAAATATTCAATAAAAAAAATTTTTTTTTGAAGTTGCTCATGATCTTACCGCTTGAAAGCAAGTCTTGATATTCCTGATATCTGGAGCTGTTAAAATATCATGTCTTTTCCTAAACAGCTAAATATTTTAAAGACTTAACTATTCGGGATTTGCCAGAAGAACAATTCCGAGAAGAAAAAAAATCCTACAGCTATTCTGCAAGGAGTTTAGTGTAGAGTAGTTTTACCAGCAAAATCTGACTCTTCTTCCTTTTCCCCGTATCTAGTTGGCAAAAGGAGCAAAATCAGCCCTACTGCCTTTTGAAGAGAGCTACACCAAAAACAGTTAAACAACTAGGGCAACATTCCCTGAAGGGAATAAAGGAAGTAGGCTTTTTGCAAGCAATTTCTAAGGGCAATGAGCACTTTTTCAAGATACTTTATGCACTGCTTTTACCACTACAAAGAATGTTCATATTATTCGTGCAGCAGGTGGTACTGGCACTGTTTTGAAAAGGAATGAAAAATCCAACGCAATCCCTTTTTAAACATAAAATAAAACCTCTGACTCAATTAAGCAATCTAGTCTAAAGATGTCTGCATTTCATTACCAAAGAAGGGAATGCTGAAGGAAATAGGCAAAGCCAGCCTTCTGGCAGAATATATAGCTTAGTCACCAGCCAGGATCCAATCCTGCAAGATACTAGATCTCTCTCAGCCTCCTACAACTTTTAACTCCCTCCATTACTATGGAAATGGACCATATACAAATTCAATATTAAAGTTTATAAGAAGTGAAACACTAAGGTTAACAACATTAACAATACACAAAAGAGAAAGCTAAACTTCTCTGTAAAATGAATTCCCAAGAGGAAAAAAAAATGGAACTACAAACAGAAGAATGAACTATAGCGATTTTTGGGTTTTTTTTTTTTTTTGGTAAGGTTTTGTCCAAGATCAGAATTTGCTCACTATTTCAATCATAAATCAGCATTCTGTGCTTAAAAAAGTCTAGTTTGGGTGTAAGCAGAGATTACTGCAATCCATAATAAGTATTGTGCACTTCAAGGTCTAAAGAAAGACTGATAAAATCGCTTTTTAAGGAAAAGCCTACAACTATTCCTCCACATATTTGTTCATTCTCCACTGTATCTACATAGATTTTACACTATTTTAATGTATACACAATAAAAGAAAGAATAACACATTTAAAATAAATTCCAGCATCAACAGTAGCATGTATTACACAGGCAAAATTCTAAGTCAGTCCACCCCCAAACAGACCTTACTTTGCTCCAGAAAAGCATAGGAAAATATCTTTCCCTTGATTATCAGGCATGAAATGCATGCAACAGTAAGATCAAGTAGAAATTAACAACTCTCCTCTCTCCCACAAAAAACTGTAGATAAATCAACATATAAGGAAAAGGTCTGTAATACATGGCCATCAGAAAATTAGCTCCTGCTTCTTCTCCCAACTACTGAATTTTTCAACTTAAATTCTTTACATTACAGACAGTTTACTTTTTGGTTAATGCACAGTGCTAGAGTTCCAAATTGTCAAAGTACTCTAATTCTGAAAAAATCAAAACACAATTGAGAATTAAAAAAATTCTCTTAACTCAGAGAACAAAACAATACTTTGATATACTTCTCCACATAACATACTTATGCATTATGGCCAACATCTTCCATTTAGAGGTACTGCTAATACGCCAACGATTTTATTGAGAAAATCCTTGGTAGTTGTCTTTGTTAGAAATAGAAGAAAGTTTTCTAAGTCTAGCTTACCAACTTTTTATAACACAACCATTTCTTACCATGAAGATTTCCAGATTTCCTGTGGACCAATTGTACTGGTATTTAATAAAATGTAGGAATGATTAAATTCAATAATAAAAATGAATTTTAAAATATACATATGAAATTCAGGTTTTAGGCCTAGGCCTGAAGAGCACGAACTATTTGAACCTATATATTGAAGGAAGGCTGCTGATGAAATACTACAGAATGGACACAATTGCTGATTTAATAAACCTTCCTGGGCCTGCAGAAAGCCTGCCCCTTTCATTTGTAGCTGCAGAGACTAGTAACGTAACACAGAAGTATTCAATAGGAACATGCTCTAAAATCTTGGGCTGGCTCTAATTGTGTTCTGAAAGAGTCTTGATGTAGTTCAGCTTGCCATCACCACTCTCTTAGTGGTAGCCAATTCCACATGTAGCCGTACTGGGCTATTAAGATCCTTTTAAAACTTCTAGGTGTATATATACATAAGTATGGTGTTACAGTTGGCACACAAAAAAGTGACACAGCACAGTCTGCACACAGCACAAAATCCCACAGACATGCTTTTTTGTTTTAGTACAAAGTAGAGGTGTAGGGTGTGGAAGAAAGCTTACCTTCTAAAGGTGAGAAAAGAGTAAGAAATAGGAGAACAAAAACAAAGATGCATAAAGTAGTCATAATAAGGAAGTGATAGTGACAAAATAACTCAAAAGGCAAACTAAAGGTCAAGCGTCAAACAATATATGCCAAAGTGATTTTAACTGATCACATCAATGTTAGATTTTCTGCAAGAGATTGATTGTTAATATGTCTGGCTTCAGGTCTCAATATTTTATTTAAATATGTTGAATTATTTGTTGTTTGCAGCACTAAACCTTAAAAAAGAATCCCATTAGCAACATACTTTAAGGTACTCAACAAATTGGCAGGAATCTCATCTATACAACATTTATTCATAAGCCCACAGTAGCACTTTTCTGATTCTGCCTGTCATAAGCAGCTTTATGGTCTGTAGCAGACAGATCTGCTTCACACTTCTTTATCTTCAGCAAGCCTCATTTAAGAGCATCACACGAGCCTTCCAGGTAAGTGGCAGCAATTACTTCCACAGCTTAACACCAAGTCATAAGGATCCAACACTGCCCATGTTCCAGCATCACAGACTTCATTTCATACTTGTCCAAAAAGGCTGCTCAACCTAAAGTGCGTTTTTTTGAGATGAAGGACAAGGCAAACACTTTAAATTTACTTCCATACCCAAATTAAAAACAGGGGAAGAGTGCTCAATGAAGCATCCCCCAAATGACTAAAAGTTCTTATCTGTAGGCCTTTTGTACAATGAGCATGACCGCAGCCTAACTTTTCTACTAGCATCTAGGGGAAAAATCTAAGGTAGTCTTGCTTTTGGGCGCCTAGCTACAGGACTAGTTTAAGGCACAGACGGACAGCTTTCATACCTAACATTCTTCTGTTAGACATCATGCTGCAAGGAAGCTATGTGTAACAAGAAACACCTTCTTTGAGGAAGGCACTGTATTCTACCATTTCCTAAACAAGTCAAAACTAAAGTGTGAACAAATTAAGTCTTTTGGGTGACCATTCAGTTTCAATAAACCAGTGAGCCACCTTCAAATGCCACATTCCTTTAACTGCTAAGAGAAAAAGCCTGTTAAGAGAGAAAAGCTAATTTTGAAAAATAAGACAATTGTCTCCGAAGATGCTCTTTGACCTTGAAGAGATTATATAACGCAACTGCATAGTGCTGCAAAACCGATAAACAAATACATAAGTCAACTTTCTCAAAAACATTCATTTATAAGGCTATAATACAGTATATAGAAATTAGACTTTTATATCCAAAGGCAGATGTGAAACATACCTTGCTGGCCCAGGCATCTTCATCCCAGGAAGTGAGCTGTAATACACGGATTATTTCATTTATCTCAGCACTCATTTTCTCTACTGTGAAATTGCGATTTTTTAGGGCCTCTTCTATTCCATGGCTTTTAGAATTTTTTGTGGTTACAAAAATCTTCATAGCTGTGAACATGGTACCATAGATTAGAAAAAACTACCTGCAAGATACGATCAATATTCAAGGTAACCTCCTATTACATAAATGCAGAGGCAGTAAATTTTATTTTTTATGGGCCATTTTATTCAAAATGGATTGCTGTTACAGCCCTCTGTATTTCCCCCTTTTTTCTTCTTTTTTAATCATTAAGACTAACTGTACTTACTGGTGTAACTGTACTTACACCAGTATTTTACCAATATCACACAGGTATGAGAACTCCAGTTAACTAGACCGGCACAGTAGTAATTTTCTTGTCCCAATCATATTTATATTTTGCGATTAACAACATTGTTAAACACCATGACATGGGTTTCAGTATGTGCTAAAAGTTTATGTCTGATTACGAGCACATTCTGCATATAATGCCGTTAGCTCCTCGTACTGCAGCTAGTGGTGATTGTTCAGTGCAGTGGTAGGCACAAACTACTATCAGAACTTCATTTTGTATTAACAGGCCATTAATTTGCTTTTAAACTACATTTACAACATTAGTGGCCAATCACACTATCATGCCACCTGTGATCTGAGTTAATATTATTCCTATTCTTCAGTTATTACTGCTGAGAACCTGATTACAACTATATCCCACTTTAGCTAATCTACAGTCCATCACAGACAGCTATCAAACACACTCCATTCACAACATTAACCATTAGTCTTTAGGTTGGCTAATAAGCAGCAGCTGAAGACAGTGAGAACACCTCCAAACACAGACAGAAGCCAAACTTATACACACCTGCAACACATCCATTACTCTGCATACCTTTATAGAAGGGGTAAAGAGAAGGCAACAGGATATATTCATAAGAGGTGTTTTGCAACACAGTTCTATTCAGCAGTAGAGGTAGGAAAATAAATGAGAGTTTGCATTCCTCCTTCAAGTCTTGGCAACAGAGTCTGCACATTACTTTTTCACTTAAAAATTGGGTGAACTCTGGTCTAAGTTTACTCCTAAACCAGGAACTACTTTTGCATTTTTTGTTCCTCCTCAATATGAGACATATCGTAATATGCCAGGAGGAGAGACAGAGAAATACAGCAGAAAGATATCCTGTTTACAGCTATTAAACAAGTAAAAATCAGGGCAGGGAAGAAGGGAGATGACCGTCCTCATTTGATTAAGAAACCACTGTGGTCCAGCTATCTCAACCCAGGCCACAGTACACCTCCACATGTTCCCCTGCGCTTCCCCCATAGACTGCCTGGACAGGCTAATGCCTCTAGCGCCCGCCTATGCATGGCTCAGCACAGTCTGAGCTACTGCTGGTGCCTCCACATAAAAGGAAACGGTGATGCCAGCAGGATGACATGTCCTGCAAAGGACTGCGGTACAGCACAGAGCCAGGAGCTGCTGCAACAGTCCACTTAAAGGTCTCTAGAACTCAGCCCTTGTTGCCACAGAAGCTGGACTACTCCAATAGATCGGGCCCTCAACCCTCACCATTCTTACAAGGTGATACTAATGCAAGACCTGTTATGAATATGTGCTAAAAGACAACTATTTAAGTGCTCATAATCAAGAAAATAAGCTGTCATTTAAAAGAAATGAGTAAATCCAATACACAAGAGTATGTGTTAAGCTACATATACAGTTACAGTATATCATTAGATAACTTGTCATTCTAGTTTCAAGTGTGCAGAACCTAGAACTAGGAGCATGACATTCACACCATGTTTCTCACTAAGTCATGAACAAATTGCATCATCCAGTTATTTGCCATCACTGCAGAAGCAACGTCAAGGCTGCTATTTTTAATGAACATAAGAAATTGGAATTCCAGTTCACAACAGACACAGATCTGGAGTGGTATCAAAAATTAAAGCAGAAAATACCTGAAATAAGTACTGGCAATAGCTCCTTCACAGTATTCATGTATT